GGCTGCCAATACTTAGGGCCACAAGACCATATTTATAAGTATGGCCACAAGGGCTGGGACACAATACTTTGGGGGCTGGGTCACAATACTTTGGGGGCTGGGACACAATACTTTGGGGGCTGGGACACAATACTTTGGGGGCTGGGACACAATACTTTGGGGCTGGTCGACGGTTATCCTCTCCAAAACAAAAAGCCTTGAATACAAATAAAATTGCAAGTTTTGGTACAAAGTCAAATATCTTAAAAGTTTGTATACAAATATAGAATTAGCGAAATAGCCCAAATACAAATAGTCAAATCTGTTACAACGCAATCAATCTCTATAATATCACATCATATGTCGTGATTTTCAAGTTATTCAAAGTATTTAAAACGATTTTTCTTTATCAATCACAAACAGTTGCATGGAGAATATCATAATCAGTATATCGGTAATAGCATTGAATTATGTGTCGTGAGGATGAGAAGCGCACACACGAATTCCACAAAATAAAAACAAAAATATAATAAAATAGTGCTCATTTTTATCTTCGTTGTTATAATTTTTAGAATTATTTTACAGTTTTTCTTTTATGGTACAAGGAATTGCGTTTCATCTGATCAAGGTTACCACTACGAGCATTTCCGCTCATCACACCGGATAAATGGAACGATCAGGTAATTAATTAGATAATTAATCATGTAATAATTCCAAATATGGTATAAATAATTGCTAATTATGCTAATTATTCGTATTCTTCCTCTCCGACTTCCTCTTCTCCATCCTCACCCTCTTCTCCCTCGTATGTGTCGTCTACTCCACATTCCTGAAATATTTCATGTTCGTTAACTCCTCAACAAATGAATTGTATATAATATAGTGGTATCGATAACTTTTTAACGTCTTACGTCATAATCTCACATCAAATTTTTAGTGCTTCGTTATAGTTGAGGTTATTCGAGAAATTTTAGGGCAGGATATAAATTGTAACCAAAATAAACTGTGCGGCGGCATTATTTTTCAAAACAACGACAAATTAGTTGAGTAGTCATCTTAAATGATTAAATCACAGAATTATCTAACTAATTATAATTATCCAACAGTAATTACCTGGTACTGTTGGTACTCAGTGATGATATCAGCGATGTCACTTTCAGCCTCGTTGAACTCCATCTCGTCCATACCCTCTCCGGTGTACAGATGCAGGAACACCTGTCATTGGTTTGTTTTAGCCACGTAGGCAGATTGGAACGTTTTCATTGGTTTGTTTTAGTCACGTGGGCAAATTTGTCCGAAAAAATTGTCTTACCATAACTAATCTAATTTCTAATTTCTAATTTCTAATTACCTTGCGCCTGAACATGCTGATAAACTGCTCGTTAATCCTCTTGAAGAGCTCCTGCATGGCAGTGCTGTTACCGATAAAGGTGCCGCTAAGGTCGTAGCCGGGAGGAGGAATATTACAAACGGCGGTCTTGACGTTGCTTGGGATCCATTCAACAAAGTAAGCAGAGTTCTTGCTTTGTATGTTTATCATCTGCTCATCAACCTGATTAATTATTTAGTTTAAATCTTGAATTTTAAATTGTTCGACTTTAAACGTTAAAATTACTATCGATGTCTGTACTCAGTTTTAGCCTCTTTCTCAAAAGAAATATTACGGGAACTTTAAAATATTTTTTGTCGGTTTCTGAGCTCTGAACGAGATTTAAAAATAAAAGGTGTTGCGGTGCGAAATTATTTCAAAAATTTTTGCATGCCTTGCTGCATTTAAGCCTTACCAAGTCAGTTTCACTTTATCTAGTCTTAACTCAATAAATCTAACTTGTAAGTCTTACTATTTCATCAGTTTTTAAACCTAAACTACAGTCTCAGCACCGTACCCTGGCACCGTACCTTGATACCGTACCCTGGTACCCTACCCTGGTACCGTACCCTGGTACCCTACCCTGGTACCGTACCCTGGTACCCTACCCTGGTACCGTACCCTGGTACCCTACCCTGGTACCGTACCCTGGTACCGTACCCTGGTATCGTACCCTGGTACCGTACCCTGGTACCGTACCCTGGTACCGTACCCTGGTACCGTACCCTGGTACCGTACCCTGGTACCCTACCCTGGTACCGTACCCTGGTACCCTACCCTGGTACCGTACCCTGGTACCCTACCCTGGTACCGTACCCTGGTACCCTACCCTGGTACCCTACCCTGGTACCCTACCCTGGTACCCTACCCTGGTACCCTACCCTGGTACCGTACCCTTATTAACAAACGACCTCCGTTTAACTTTAAGCGATAAACACTCACATCCTTGGTGGAGCATTTTCCTCTGAACATGGCAGCACAGGTAAGATATCGGCCGTGTCTGGGGTCACATGACACCATCATGTTCTTGCTGTCGAACATTTGGTTTGTGATCTCTGCCACTGAGGTTGCCTGCGGAGGGAATGGTTGTTATTTTGGGGTACTTTATAGAAGATTCAACTGGTGATGTAAAAGGTGGAGGTATCGTTTCCACTTAAACTGAATTATTCTTGGTCTCTCTTCAAATACGGTTCTCAAGTAAAATATTTATCGGCAAATGAGGATTAATGAGTTATTGAATCAAATTGTTTACCTTGTACCCCTTGTTTCCGGATGAAGACAGAGGAGCGAACCCTGACATGAAGAAGTGAAGACGAGGGAAGGGGACCATGTTGACAGCAAGTTTCCTCAGATCAGCGTTCAGCTGGCCAGGGAACCTGGGGATAGAAGCCGGTAATGTGGGAGGCGATTCTAAAATATCTTTTCTTTGTGGGATGATAAAATATTTTTATTTTAAGTCGTCTTGTTTTACTTTTACAGCACATTGAACACATTTTTAGAATGAACAGGTTTACGGAACAATAAAATATGAAAGTATCCATTCGAATCTTCTAAATACTAATAGACACTAAGCATCTACGACTAAACTCAATAAATGTTGATAAAGATACATCTACATCATCTCACCTAAGGCAAGTAGTAACACCGGACATGACGGTTGACACAAGATGGTTTAGATCACCGTAGCTAGGGCTCTTCAACTTAAGAGTGTTTGTACAAATGTTGTAAAGAGCCTCGTTGTCAATTACGTAACATTCGTCAGTGTTCTCGACCAACTGGTGGAAAGAGAGGGCGGCGTTGTACGGCTCTACGATTGTCTCGGAGACCTGGTGGGTTGAGAGGATTTGTCAAATGTGTCTTTATTTTAGTGTCTTTAACGTCGATTATTTCATTTAGTCATTTTCCTTGTTTCGCTTTGTCTGTCGAGAGCCGTGATGCTCCCTACTGAACACAACAAGGAGGAATTTTAATTAAATCATTAATTTACTAATCTATCTTTACATATATATATATAGTACCACTGAGTGCACTGGGAACCGCGTGGAATTTAATAAGTTGACGATAAAAGTGTCCTAAGTACTCTCTAATCTAAATTTGTATCGCATCAAAAACTAAAAGTTAAAAAATAATTATACATTTCGATTGCTTCTCTAGCTTCTACTTCTAAATTTACAATTAAATCAAAAGAATCTTTACCTTGGGAGAAGGAGCAACAGAGTATGAGCAGACGATCCTGTCAGGGTACTCCTCACGAACCCTCTTCAGGAGCAAAGTTCCCATGCCAGATCCGGTACCCCCTCCAAGAGAGTGACTCAGTTGGAACCCTTGTAGGCAGTCGACTTGTTCAGCTTCTTTCCTGATCACATCGAATACCTGAGAGAGAGGTTAAAGTTTAGAGAAATCATTGTCGAGGAGTGTCAGTGAAGAATCAAGCCCGATCACTGATCAGTTACCTATATTATCAGCCAAAGCACTGAAATCTGGAAGCGCTTTATCTATGTGATAGTACAAGATATGTGTATCTTACAGTACATTTTTCTGGACATTTGAACAAAAATGTATAGCCATTGTTTGATCTATCAGTGATCCAGTGAAGGTTCACAAACCTGGTCCACCAGTTCAGCTCCCTCGGTGTAATGACCTTTAGCCCAGTTATTACCAGCACCGGACTGTCCAAACACAAAGTTATCAGGACGGAAAGTGCTGCCGTACTTGCTGTTCTTGATGGAGTCCAGGACGGCTGGTTCCAGATCCACGAGGACAGCACGTGGCACGTACTTACCTCCCTGTGATGTGAGGTATGTTAGTATGTTGTCAGTGAATGTACTTTGTTAATTACGATGATCCATCTTTACGTACCTAGTGCTCTAATTAATAATGGACCTATTGAGAAGTTTAGAAGTAGGCATCTTTACGGTCATCACGTGATCTGCGAACCACCTCTTTGACTTTGCCAGTCGGTTATCGAGTTAGCGTTAGAGTCAATGAATATTTAGCAAAAGTGAGTTTGCTTTGTCAGTTATTGAGCTAGGAGCAGGGTGCTACTTTGAGAAACCCGAAGCTAAAATCTTTACCTGGATCTCATTGAAGTACACATTTATCTTCTCCAACAACATGTCATCCTCACCAAGGAAATTTCCGTCAGTGCCAATCTTGTGCTCTGAAAACAATTTCATTAAAAGAAAACGTCCACACTTGAAGTTCAATTTGTACTGTAAACAAAGTTGTAATCGAAATGAAAGAGACAATGAAAGTGAAAGGAATATATAGCGAAAGTGAAAGTGATTTAACTAACCGAGGCATACTGTCTCCCAAAAAGCGACTCCAATCTGGTTACCACATTGGCCGGTCTGAATGTGGACAATTTCACGGACCATGACTGCTTGCTCCTAGTAACCTTGGTAAAAATAAGTTTAGGAACTGTGTTGTTGTTATTATGAAAAGGAAAATATTGTACTCCTGTTGGTACACTTTGCAGTACATCGTACAGTTCACATCGTCATGAGTTACTATTGTCATTATGCAACTACTAGTATTACTGATTACAATTTGATTGGAAACGTCTTATTTTCAGTCACATAGCAATAGTTACGATAGTCGATTTGGTAACATTTCCTGACAAAGGCCCATTCAAAATCGAACTGGTAGCCTGTTGTACTATCATTTTATAGATATTTGACAAACAAGAAAGGTGGCAAAAAGTTATAAAAGTGGCAAAAAGTGGCCTTAAGACACTTGGAAAAGTTTGGAAAAGTTGTTCAGCCCTTAAGGGCACCTAATGGAACTCAAAAACGTAAAAATTCCTTTGGAAGCTTTTTGTGTCGGTATAGATTGATTTTTTTCAGACGGATATGTTTGTACTAATATCAATTAAGGAGGAATTAGGAAAAATGCAAATATAATGTCCGCTGAAGAAAGACATTGTAAGTAAATTCCTTGTCTATGGACTTAGAGAGAAATTCGACGACTGACTAATGTATCGCTGAACTAATGTTAAAATCGTTAATTCATTGCAATATCAACTCTGCATATTTTGGATACTTGCAGACTACATTCCAACGGATCACAGAATATCAAAAACAGAATATCTTCCCGAAAATAAAACTTGCGGTTTGCTGATATTGTCGATATCATTGTAATCAGACACCTTCCTGCCTCTTACCGCGCTAAAGCTTTATCATAATCTTAGTTATTGCACGAAATTTGATGACACTTCCATGCAACCCGGTATTTGGAAAACTAATTATCATATTCAGTACCTGATTTTGTAAAAGTACACAAGAAGTGTTTAACATTTCTGTAGGACACATCCAAACTGAAACACAGCGATATATAAAGCCTTTTTAAACTTGAGCTTGGAATGAAAACTACGTCAACAAAAACCAGCCATAACTCTATTGGCTACCGGAGCCAATACGCCATCAACGTTAATTAAAAATTACGGTCAATAATTCCTTGGACCCCAGTTGGCTACCGATTAAAATTATCAGGAAACACAATTTTGGAATGGAGCAACAACAGGATTTTTGTCTCCGGCTGCTGTAAAAAATGGTAACTGTGCGTAAAGTCATAGCCACATGACATTGATAACGCGTACCTGATTGGTTAATTACATCGACGTGACTAGAATACAGCGCGCTGATTGGCTCGCGGAAAAGTCACGCTATTTCTGGCAGGGTGACGACATTTTGACACTTAACATCTAATTCAATTTGCTTTGTAGTTCAGTGAAAATTGGACTTTACAGCAATTAGAAGTGGAGTCAATACTAATAGCAGAACATATACTGGACAAACATAAACAACAGTAAAGCTTGCTGATAGGTTAATTACGGCACGTGAATAGAATACATCACGCTGATTGGCTACTGGAAAACAGAGTGCTGGTGTTTGTGAAATCATGGTGCACTGATGGAATTTATGATTCAATAATTTGATATAATAACTGTGATTTAGGCTAGTAGATAATGATTAACACTTTCAGAAGCGCTGGTAATCGCATTAATGTTGAGTTTATTGATAATAGTAATCAAACGCAGCTGATGACAACGAATTGTAGGATATGGAATTGAAATATATAAACATTCAACTGGTGGGCTCAATTACGGTTAGATATTAACAGAATTCTTCAATTTACCTACTTTCAAACTTTCGTGGTGTTTGTTAGATTTTACGTTTGTTAGATTTTACGTTTCTCATTGTGAAAACTACGAACGTATCTGCACAATACTAGATTAAATTGAAAATGACTAATTCCTACAGCACGAACGATGAAAGCTCTAAATTAAGTACAATTAATTTGCCACTCAATTCATAACCTAACAATTCGTTAATAACACAAATAAATCCTCATGTGACACGAGACATGAATATGTTACAGATAACAAAAAACCGGAAATATTTGCTAAACGTTGTATACCTCTTATCGTAGCTTCTTAGAAAAGAGGGTTACAACACGTGTATCAAGGGAATACCCCTGCTATGCTCTACAGTGAAGATAATGTGAAAGGAATAAGGCTAAGTGGGTACGTGGTTGTTGTAATTATCCCCAATCTCTTGTATTACACCAATCCTGGTACTGAGTAGTGAGTAGGGTGTTTTGCCACAGTTGCCGCCTCAGTGTGTATTGTGTTTTATCATAATCAGATGGGCTGTTCTGGTATTGTTCTGCTGATTCGATCATTTTATTATTTCGAGCGGAAACAGTCGCGTTATTGAGGACGTACTAAATACTGTTTTTTAAAGTTATTGTTAAACCTATACCAACCTACTAAATTTACTTAACGTAAATGAGTCATATCATCAAAGTTACAAACTTCCGAGTAATGATGAGGAATGCTGGTATGAGACAATTCTCTTCCCTTGTTTTTGAAAGAAGCAAATGTGTTTATAGTGGCTGAACAGATGTGGTGCCCTGAGTCTATCACTATCAGTAGAACATTGAACAGAAATGTGTTCAATCTATATCGTTATCAGTTTATTAGGCTGGTTATCAGTTCAGTGACCAATATGATTGGTCAAATGATTAGTGATCAACTCAGTAACGAGTTCAGTAACCGTTAAATGATCCAGAAAATAGCTTATAATTAAGGTTGATTTCAAATTGGAAGCTTTGATCGAACAGTAATTTCTTAAAGACCTTTAAGACCATTCGGCTCTATCTATTTTTATCTTTATATAATGCAGACTGCAGTGCATATCATGGAAGCAAGCCATTTGGAAATTTAACTTTATACTTGATAAATTTAACAAGAGTCGACAACAAAAGAAAGTACGAGGATTATTATACAGTATATAATACACGTTCAACATAAAGTGTAGTATGAAAGTATTTAAGCAGGCACACTAGTGACTTGGGTAATGAGTCACCATTGTCACTAAAGTCGCTATTGAGTCACTAATGAGTCACTAATGAGTCACTAACGAGTCACTAATGAGTCACTAATGAGTCACTAATGAGTCGCTAATGACCAACATTCATACAACTACATTAGCATAGAGCTTCAGCAGTTGGGGCTGAAGTTGGCCCCTAGTACAGAAGACAAATGTAGCCCGGTCAGAGTGCTAAACTTATCAAGTACTAACAATCATATAATAATAACCAAAAAGTTATTTCTTTCAATGCCTATACCATGTGCGAATTCAACTGTCAACACTTACGCTCCAAAGGACACATAAACCATCTAGGATGTCTAAGAGGTAGAAAAAAGATAATTTTGATGGGTGATTATACTATAATACAGGGAAAAGATTACAAGTGTTGATGGAGTTGTCTATTGTAATAATAGATTAAGGGATGTATCATGATGCCAGTATTTCAGACCACTAAAGGCATTGAAAATGGTTTATGTTTTTCTATATTCCCACGCAGTAAACTAAATTCAGTTATAGTTTATTGTTGGTTATATTATACGAATATAGCTGAAATTTAACTTTTGAAAACACTGCTACACTATAAATAAGTAAATATTCACTCCTTGAAATTCAGGTGGATATGGACAAGGTGCAAACAGCACCAAAATACCACCAGGGGTAAAAGAAACTCGATTTAGTAATAGCTTGAAAGAAATGGAGTATTTTAAAGCTCCGTTATTTATGTCATCTAATTCGAAGCATCACACACAAGCCCACCCCATCAATCAGCAAACATTTTTCTCTCACGTGACTCCATGAAAACCAATTAGAGAACACAACGCATGTCACGTGACTGCGAGCCAACCAATCAGAAGACAGGAAACCAGTCACGTGAGTACCAGTACTGAGGTAGTCAGTAGTGCCCCAATTGGAAGCCTCTTCCTCAACGCAGCTTTTCCTGCCTTTACTTCGGCTTGTACTAAGGTGAAGCCTGGTAAATATTACTTTGCACTAGGAAAACTCGTCATGCCACGGTTCACGCTAGATGTTGTTTAGACCTAATTTTTTATAGGATGAGCTTGACAGAAACCTGAAATGTCCTTAAATAGGTGCACATTAATTCGCATGTTGGATTCAAAACAACCGACTTTTTTTGTGCAATATCACTGTTCCTACAATAAAATTAAAGATAACCTAAATTTTAAGATTTCAGCTAATTCATTTAGCCACCATGGAGCAGTGAGCTATAATTCAATTTTCTTGCTTCACTCAGTGTTACCGCAAGCTAATGCTATGTCACGTGACATCCACGTTAAGTCATTGTTACTGAGAAAAAGCTGGATTGGGCCTCCCGGTGTCCGGTCCAGGGTCCAGTTATAATTTTCAACAAATAATATGTTCCGACCTTAATTACTAGTGGCCGGCAGTGCGAACTGCTTTTTGAAAATTAGTAAATAGCTCAGGAAAAGAAATTTGGCAAATATCAATAAAAAATTTATGGAATTAGGTCACACACCTCAACCACTGCGTTACTATTAAAGTCTTAAGAAATTATAACCGGCCAAGAACCGACTAAGAACTACTAAAGAGCTGCAGTCAATGAGTCAAGAACTTTTTAATATTATAAAGTTATAACTTGGCAGTGGTATATTGTAAGTGAACCTAAAATGGCAGGTCACATAAGGTTTGCAAATTTAGAAATTTTACTCACCACAGTCATTTTTAATGAAAATATTAAAATTTTAAAAATATAAAGTTGAGCATGCAACCAAGTACATGTACGTGTTTCACTGTACGCGTCTAATAATTGAACCGGTGAAGCCTTGAAGACTACAAACTGTACCAAAAACAGTAATATAACGTCGATATATTGACGGAAAATGCGGTGGGTATAACTTATATATAACTAATATAATTAATAGTTTTGCTAATATTATTAGCAAAACTATATCAATATCCGACAAATGAGCTGTACTGCTCAACTGCAACTCACAATCACGTACAAATTTCCACAACCAAATGGCTTGGCTGAGCTTCAGGCCATAA